CCTCTGTTCTTATTAAACAGTCTTACTAGGCCCTCTTCTAACTGCTTTATGTCTCATCCCCATTCCTCTTAGATATTTTTATCTAGACAACTGAACAAACCTGAAATAAGCCCAAATTTGACACAAATCAACTTCCACTGGCTACTAGTACTCACTGTAACAGGCTGTCTCTTGGTGGTGGTGTTGAATACTCTGCAGAAAAAAAAGGGAGAGGGACTAAAGAACACCATAAAGCATGCTTAAAGCAAACAGCCCACTGCTAGGACATATATGACAGCAGCCAAAGTGACTCCTAAAATATTTGCCCTAGCTTTGGCACAGTAAAGCATGACTGTCAGCATATTTCCTTACTATGGAAAAGCAGCTCCACTAAACTACAGTGCTGCCTACCAAGCTTAGGTTGTCTGAAACACTGAAAAGGAGATAGAAATCTATTGAAAATATAAAATAAAACCCAAGTGCTTTGAAAATATACCCAGATAATAGATTAGCCTCTCCTATTATCACTGCCTTCTACCTTTAACAACTCCATGAGTTCTGGACATGTTTTTCTATATCATTAATATTTTTATTGTTATCATTTTTGCTCTCTCACCTCCTTATGTTCTCTTACTACTTTACTCAGCAGTGAAGGTTGTATTTTATAAATCTGAGAGGTAATCAATGTTAAGGACCAAAAATTCATATTCAAACACTGAAATAACTGGCCTGAATTTCCTCTGCACATACAAATCTTCTTTTGCTGTGGATGGAAATGATTCTGATGATACTCTTATTACCATCCCTGTAATACAGTTACAGCTATTGAGGTTTGTGGTATTGTGTACAGGTTAAACTGATGAGTTATGAGTGAGTCTAGTTATCTGCATAGTGGTAATGATGTCTCCTCTGAATCACAGATGTAAACAAATACCTCCTTAGTTATCTCCTCCACAGAACTATGGTTCCATCTGCATTCGCAACTCTTCCCTTAAACTTACTTCCTCCCCTTTGAGAATCTATTCCACATTGTAATCCCTTATTATGAGTACAAATGTGAGAAATGGGGTGCTGGCTGCTCCACGGGCCATTCCCTTTCCCCCACCCATGTGCACCCTATCGCTGTCAAACTCCACAGGCCACACTCCCTTGATCTGCTAGTTGCTCTTTTGCTTTGAAGAAAATTGGCAAATCCACCAGATAAAAAGGCAAGTATTATTTGCCTTAATCATTAAAGACAACAGAATGGTAAATACTGCCAATTTTAACAGAGACCTAGTACCTTAACTTGTGTTCCCTGATAACTGGAATGAAAAGCAAATGATGTTCTGCTTGGGAAATCAGAAACTCTCCTACTTGACTGAATGTTTCTGATATCATGATAAAGAAAATACTGGTGAGTTTGAAGGCAGTACTGAAATGCATAATGCTAGAAACACAAACTTTTTTTTTTCTAAATAAGAAGGTGCTGTAACAACAATTACTTTAATGAAATTGTTTTAATGAAGGACTAATTGCCTCCGAGTGAGAATATTTGAAAAAGAGATGTTACAAGCAGCTTCTTACTCAGAAATTAGTAGCCAAGATCAATAAACAAAACATAAAATGTAGGCATATTATCGATGCAGATACTGATGCAGATAATGTAGGCATAATACTGCTATAAAGAGTTGAATTTGGTGAAAAAAGATGATGAAATAGAATAACTGATGTTAATTGTATCGAGGCTGACTTCAAGTAGCTAGTGTTCAACCAGTTTGGTTTTAATATGGCCTTGAAAGATATGCCAACTATAGCTGCTAAATCCATATTGCAATTAGAAATGGTTACCTTTGTTGATCAAAAAAAAAAATGAAATGGAAGGAAAGAAAAATAACATACCATGTTCACACACAAAACAAAAAGAGCTATATCAGGGACATCAGGGAAGGTGGAATACTATAACAACACATTTTTATATTGTTATACTATTCCACCCACCTTAATGGAGAACCCTTCGGTGTGGCTACGCCATAGCCTTTCGAATCCAGATTTCCTCCCACTTTCATGGTGTCACATGGCTTTCGTTGCTCAATGTATTCATTCATGGTGGACTCCAGCAGGAAGGCAAACTTGCCCTTGGATTTACGGACACGAGCTACTCCCTCTGCAGTCGTCCTAGTGAACACTGATGGCTCAGCTGATTTCATGTAGGTCCACATCTTTTCATACACTGCTATTTTTGATCTCTGGAGAAAATCAAAAAGAAGTTAGAACAAAAGAATGTTGCAACATTATAGAATGGCTCTGTTCACATAAAATCAATCATACGTAATTTTTCAGACAACTGAGGTCGGGAAAATCATACTTGGATAAGAATCATATTTGAATCCCGAGATTATTTTAAAAGAAACAAGAAATAACAGTATCAATACTGTAATATCCGGTATTATTTTTAAGTTCACCTAGCCTCTAGCAGTTGTGAAAAAAAATAACTGCAAAGCTAAGACCAGAATTTACTGTTAGATAAAGGTAGATCATACAGTCAAAGTATTGCAGAGTGTGTTTTAGGGAATTATATACAAAATAGATGTCCACAATAAGCCTGTATGGGAAAGAGAAACAGTAAAATAGTCTCTCCATAAATACTGAGCTGAATCTTTGAGCATTTCTGTAACTCCAACTTCCTGCACCATCAAAACCACAATAGCTTAAATAAGATTTCTGATTTCATAATTCAGAGTCCAGAATTCATCCAATTTACATTCAGAAAGGCTGCACAATATTTGAAGACATGGTTCACAATAAAAGATAGAAACACCAAATTGTACCAAATATGCTATTATAGGAAGTAAAATGCACTAAGCATTTACCTTAAAGAAGTACTAGGTATGATTTGAGAACTGCAGTATCAGTGGATTTCTTTTAAAGACTGCCAGTAAACGAGGAAGAAATATACTTGCTCAAAGAATGTGCAAGGATTCGTGGCTTGGGGTGCATTAGTTGGAAATTATCCTGTCTGGGAATGTATGGTGTAACCATATGTAAATACTTAAGCAAAAGTAAAACTTATTAATAAAAAAAAAATAAAAAATTCACTGAAAGAAAGGAAGGAAATGCTGAGAAGTTTACCATGCTCCTTAGATTTACTCAACAACTCCTTTGATTCCTCCAGCAACAGGAATACATACATGCAAACCAGCAGCACATCAGCTGCACACTGCACAGCGTTTTTATAATAACAGATGGCACTTGTCTTCTCTTATGCATGATGCAAAAAGGACTTGTTAACCCAATGCTCAAGTCAGCTTTTATTTGAGTCAACAGGAGTTTCTAGCTAAGCCAGATTTGGTCTGTGAGCCCGTTCCTACACTGTGTTGAGCGCTCCAGGAAAATACTCATTATTATAAAGCCCCAAAACAAAGGGCCTTAGAATATTTAAACAAATACCAAATCCTATAATCTAGGCATTATTTAAATTGACAATGGCTTTAAAAAGCCCAGAACTGAGTCTTTGTATAGGTGAGAGCAATTCCCCTGAAGCACTTCTTTTTACCAATTACTGAATGATTGTATCATTACTCAGAAAATAATTCATTAGGGATGTAAATCTATCTTGAAAGTAAGTGGCATTTCATCAGAAATGTTCAATAAAAATACCATGTAGCAGAACATCATAAATTATTCTTGCCTTTTTAGTTTGTCTATATGCATAATTTTATCCTTCTGTCAAGTATAATCAAATTTAAATTAACAACAGCTGTGTATGTCCATAGTCACATCCTGCCTTGTCACCCTCTCTTTCCACTGTAGTCACAGCTAATTGTCATTTACATAATACTGGCTGGGAGCAGAGCATAAACTAAGCCACCAATGTATTCTTTTTTGCTTTGCACTCATGTAATTTCATGCCTTTACAGAAAGAAACAAAATGGAAGAGAGCAGTAATGAATCAGTCATAGTTTCAGGAATATTTTCTTGCCTTTGTCTGCCTTCACTTTCAATCATTTTTTTACATCTGAACATCCATATCATTGGATTCTCTATAAAGTAAACATATAATAGGTCATTTTCTTTGAAAAGTAAACCATGCAGCACATAAACCAGCTCTATTAGTAACTTGAAACAATGCCCTAAATCAATTGGAAGAGGTTGCACTTAAATATATAATTTGGATTTTTAGGATCTAGTTTCCTTTGCCTATCAAAAGAGAAAAAATATGGAAAGTCTAACAAGGCATCTGTTCGGTAATAACATCTTCTTCTCTTAAACTTTCATTTGTTAACATTCAATTTCTACATGTCAACTCAGAGTGAAAATTGAAGTCCAAACCAACATTATTATCATATGAGGAAACATTGCAGCTTTCTCCTGCAGTCAGCCAAGTTGGGATAATTTTCATTTAGGGCTTTTCTGAGTAGGACTGCTAAAACCAACTTCTTTCCCTCTAGAGCAAGCTTCTCAGAAAATACATCTCTGATTGCACCTAAACCAGAAAATAAGAGGAAATATCTACCACTATCAAAGTCTTCTTTTTCTTTATGTTGGCTTTAAAATTATTTTCTCTTTTTGTTTTCAATCCAGAATCAAAGCAGACCTAATAACTGTTCAGAGTTTCTGACATTTTGATCAGAAATGACCAAATGATGAGAAAATGTCCTGAAGGCTCATCTTCAGTCAGATAATCACCACTGACAGAAAAGTTACACATGATTCTAATATCAAAAGTGAAGATGATTGCTTCCAAACCCACAAAATGTTCAACTTGGCACACAAGTAGTCCTGTACTATTGTTTCAGGCTAGGTCTTTATTTATGTATTATGCCAATAGTGTTTGTGCAAATATTGTCTGTCAATAGTTTAACCTTATCCCTGTTTTATGAAAAACATTTTTAGAAACAGCACATACAATATCATTAAGAATCACTATACTGTCACAGATATTAAAAATAATTTGACAACAGGGCACGAATTGTACCATTTTTTAAAAAGTGATGAATGCAGTTTAAATGTTGATAAAGCTTCAAATTTTGCATATGCAGTGATATGTAGTATTTGTAATTACTTTTAATGTTTCCCTCTGTACTTAGAAAGAAAGGAAAAGATAAAAAGTGAACATTGATTTTGATTTTCCTTTTTTTTTCTCTTAACCCTTTAAGATTGAAGTGAAGGTATGGCTGCCATTATATACATTTTTACTTCGTTGTAGTGTCTTCTTTTTAAGAAGAGATCTTGCAAAGAAGTTTCTATGTTTACAGGATGATTTTAAAGAATCAGAAAATTTTTGTGACCAGTATTGTTTCTACACCAAAATACCTGGCCTCATTACTTCAAAACAATGGCTCATACAAATGTTTTGAAACGCTTAATAAAACAACTCCATTCCTTCATTCATTACTAGTTTTTTGGGAATTAATTTTTGCATCATCACCTGAAAAATCGCAAGCACAGCATACTCTTGAAAATGCAAGTTGATAAATTCATAGTTTCATAAATCTGCTTGGTGATCAATATCATGTTTTTAAGTATTACCACAGCTTCATTCTAGTTGAAAGAACCATTTGTACCCACATATTGTGATACCACCACCTCGGCTTATGATGGACTGAAACAAGAATTCCCAGAATTCAATACCTATCTTTCCACAAAATGAGTTAAAGAAGAATCTATGGGTTAAACATAGATGAATATAAATAATGAGTATAAGGGAACATATTATTTTTAAGAAAATAAGAAATCTGGCCATCTCAGTACCAAAATATTTCAATTCTTGGACAAGCCTCCTATATCTAATATAATGGCACCACTCTTGCAGACATCTGGTATGAAATCAGGGCTTCTGGGGACCACAAACTGAGTTTGTACCACTTAGGGTAAGAAATATAGCTCCCAGAGAGCATCCGTAGTGTCATATTTAGGTGTTTTCCAACATCCTGGCTATAGAAGAAGACAGGTGTAGTTAGACACCTGGGAGTGAACTGTGTCCATTAAAAATGAGGTACCCAGCACCCTAGCCATTTCAGTGGGATCCCTCTAGAGTTCACGAAAAGAGGCTGATACTTCAGTGGGTGATTTATTTCAACATGACACACATCCAAAACAGGATGCACAGGGCTGCCTTTCTCTCTCCAGTGTCTACAGAAGAAATCTAGAAAATTAGGTTAAAGTCCTTGGTTAGCTTCATGATGGGAAGGTCCAACCACTATGTGTTTAAGTGCAATTTATATCTTAAAAGGCATCATCTTTTTACATCTAATAGAACCAATCTGGAAGCTCTTCTATGGGGATAGCTGTCACAATAAAAAGGTTATTTCACTACAGAGCTTTGGGGGTCAACTCAGAAGCTGCCCTTGAATTGATACTGTCAATAGTTCACAAATCCAATCCATAATTCTGCTAATGTTTCCCTGAGTTCAGTTTTGCCAAATTAAAAACAGTCAAGGTTTATGGGAGTACCTAACACAGAACAATCTCCTTTCAATTAGGCAATAAGAAGAAATTATCACTTCATCTTTCTGACTTCTAAAATTGCCTTAAACTACACATTTCAGATAAATAATGCCCTTAAACTGTGTAATTTTCAAGAAAGGATTACTGGCTCACAGCATTTATTCAGAGCTATGTTCAAACACTAAACTCACTTCAGTGAGCTGAGCTTAACTTTCATCTGCTAGACACATGAAATAAAGCAGGAGGGACGGTTTATTTTTCACTCCTTGTGATGTCCAGGCTCCCTGTTTTCCAGCTGGCAAATGATGAGGATTACATACCAACCACACTAACGCAAGAAAGCAAATTAAAATGAAGCAATCAATAGCAACAGCACAGACATATGAATGGCTGTTAGGCTATTTCCTAATGTTTCAACCACATCTCCTTAAGTTATACTTTCTGTTTCTTATCCATCTGAAAGTCAGCAAATTAAAAAATGCATTTCCTGCCCACCACCCAAGACCCTAAAGCAAAACACATATAGTCAAATCCATAAGCAGAAACAAAACCTGCAAGACTCCATGTAATCATCATAGGCTTTCAATGCTGCACATCACTTCAGTATTGTAGCTTCAGATGAATCAATAGTGCAATGCTGGTTTAATTATCACAGGCTTCAGTATCCCCCCAGGCACCTCTTTCACCCAATGTGACAGAATCAATAAGCTTTCCACAAATTAAAAAATCCTGAAAGCTCCAACAAATGGTCTTGTGAGGGTAAAAATTTAGCTAAAATATTTCAGAAGTTACAAACGATATTTCATATAATTGCAAAGTAACATTATTCCACACTTATAAGAGCAGTTGGTAGGAAGAATTGCTCTAATGGACATGCCAACTTACTCTGAAGAACTCTTTGGTTGACCCTGAGTCCAGTGTCCCATAAGCAATTTCGGTTTGTTTGGCAAGGTCTTCTGCACTCTCTATGGGTGAGACCATTCTCTCAACAGTCAAGAAAGCAGCGAGGTTAGCAGTGTAGGATGAAATAATGATGAGCGTGAAGAACCACCAGACACCTCCAACAATGCGACCTGAGAGGGATCTAAACATGAATAAGATAATGCACATTTTCCTGTCTCTTAAGCCACAAGGAGAGAGAGAGAAAGAGAGAAGGCACCATTATTGCTGAGCATGTGTCATTCAGTTACAGTCAACGGGAGGAAGACCCTTTGCATTTTAAATACTAACAAATGCTTTTACTCTCAAATCTTAATGTCTGCAGTACAGACTCCACTGTAATAATGCATATCATACATATACAGAAGCTTGAATTCTCTTGAACAGTAATCTCAGTGTTCTTATTATTTCAGGACATGCCTAAAATAATAAAAATGTTGTCAGAAATACTAGATAGGTAATCTCTTTTTGGAGACAAAAGTAAAGCATGGTAGTTGCAAATCAGTAGCTTTCTCTGTTTCCTTTTACAACAGAAAAAAATAGACAGAAAAGGTTTTGCACATGAATTATGTTGGCTCTAGGATTAGAATGTTCCTGTCACCCAAACTTCTCAAACATTCTATAACTTACTGCAATCATTTGAACATTCACATTTTCCTTATTTAAGAGGCAAGCATTTTGTAGTAACAGAGGCATTTCTGTTAAGTAAAAAAAAATCATATTTTCCTTTTCAATACCTGTAATTTGATGAGAAGGCTGTTGAGGAGTAATGCACATCCAGTCTTAATCAGTGCCAGTTTTATTTCTAACTTCAGTAATAGAAGGGTTAGGCCAATGCTGAACACTCAAAATTTCACTGTAAATGGCTAAAATGAAGCATTTAGGTTTGAAAGATTGGGACATAAGGTTTAATTAAGAAGTTTCAGTTACTGTCCACTAAAGTTCCAAAACATCTTAAAAGGCTGAGAAATTCAGGATTGGAATCATGTATTAGATCTGAGGCACCCACTCTGTAAGGCATAGCTCAGCAATGCAGCATGGCTTCTCAGAAACAGACGTCAAATATTCTCTCTCACAGATACTGATATTCATGAAGCAGCACTGCAGAACTTGATAAGGAACAGAAATGGGAGATTCCTTGATGCAAGGCAGATATTTAACACAATTGTGTGCATTTCCTAATTGTAGTACAATGGAACTAATTTAGCCATAGCACAGTTCCTCTGAAGTCAACTCAGTGGACTTCCTCCTGTGTGTACCTGCTGTTTCTGAGAGCTGTTTGTGGTTTATGCACATTGACATTGGTAAAATAATAGTAATGACTGAAATTCAAAGCAGATTATTTGTTGCCCTTATCATAGCTATTTAAAAAAAAAACCAGAAAAAGAAAAAGGCTTCCTAAAGGATGAACTTCAAAACACTGCCAGGAAAATTAACGAAGGAAGATTTTATGCTTCATTGTTGAAGATAAAATGCAAACATAAAAAGATTTGACACAAACCTTGGGGAAATATCACATCCTTGTTGCATAAAGGCACCCAGGGAAAACCAGAGGCTGTTGAATATGCCAAACTCATTGGGAGGCTGGTCACTGGGTCCTTCTTTCCCATCCTCTGGTTCTTCTGTGTGCCACTCATATGGACTAAACCTGCTAACTAGGAACAGGACCACACTGACACCAATGTAGGCAAAGACTATGCACATCCAGATCTCATACGCCAAAGGGTCCAAGAAGGAAAACACTCCTGGTTTAGATTTCTGGGGCTTTTTGATCATAATGGATATCCCCAAACTCATAAAAGGCTTAGAAAAATCAATGACCTCTTCTCGTACCAAAGTGATGGTCAGAGGCGCAACAGCAATCTCTGCTTTCTATAAAGAAAAAAGAAATATAGATGTACAGATTAATTGAAGTTGGCTTAAACACTTGGCTAAGCAGCTAATTCCAAAGGTATGTTATTAACATCAGGACACTGTGGCTTAAATGCTCTTTATAACATTTTTCTGTTTCTTTCTATCACAGACTCTATTTACTCAATACGTTTTTAGTAAAACATATATATTGCAGATTTTTATTTTACAGAATTATAAAAACTTATTTTTTTCTGCTAAGGAGAAGACTTAAATCATATAGATGTGGGCAGCAGTGTAGGAAGATCGTTTTAGGTATTAATTCGGATTTAAAGTAAAGGAATTCAAGGAGGAATGAAAAATGAAAATGACCCTGTTGTCACTGAATGTATCGAGACAACTTTAGAAGATCCCAGAAACAGTAATTTACTGTCATATTTTCATAAGACCTAATTGTTTTTCAAGGGAAACCAGCTCAGACTCAAGGAAGCTCCAAACAGCATGAAGCAGCAAAGGTGATTAACTACTGCTGTGATTTCACCAAACTACACACAGTTGTCTTGAGAGATAGATAGTTCAATAGGAATGAATCAGATTTTAAACAGTGAAAAATAGCAAGTATACAGAAAATAGGTGTGCAAAATCATGCAATAAAAGGATAAAAAGTGTGCTGAATCTATCCCTGCTAGTGTCTGGAATTTTTTTAAACTGTTTTTAACACGTTTTTAGAATGAGATGCCAATCTTGAATGAATCATTCTTGATGAACTAGAAGAACTGCATGAGCTAGAAGATATGGTAGGTAAGCTAATGGATAATTTTTGTCATTAGGGACACAACACTACATTAAGGTTTGCTCCTTGCCTTGCCTTCCCTTGCCTTTCTTTGCCTTGTATGCCACTACAGCAGCACTTCAGATGGAAATTGTAAGGGGAACTGGGTCAAAAGATGGGAGTTGAACAGATGCAAAAGCTGCTGAAACCTTTCTCCTGTTCATCATCATGGTGCTGCATCTAGGCACAGTCACAGAGCAGAGCCTGAGCTCAGTGACCAGTGTGGACTTCTGTACAGCTTATGGGCTAAGGAGGGTAGTTCAGCATATTTTGTGAGTACTTTGTCATTTCAATGAGATTACAACATGCTCAGAATTAAGGATGTGCTCAAATAGTTCGACCCAAGTGTTACGTAAATAGTTTGTGTGATATAGATTTTTTATAAAAAGGAAATGTAGGCATTTTTGTTATCTTACAACTTTAAAACAGATAAAGGCATTTCAAATAACGTGTTTGTTATTTTATGCACTAAGTTATAGTGAGTCATATGTATTTTATGGAATTAAATTTTAAACTAATTTTGTTTAGTTAAAATTTAAACCTATTTTGGCAGCTTTATAATTGTAAATAATTCAAAAGAACTGACTCATTCCAGTGCAATGGCCCAAAAATGCAAATTTGTATTAAAATTGCTATACATTAATCATCAGATTATATCTGTCATTCTGATATAGTTGTGATGCAAACACTTATAATATTATGTAAAGATATTAGAGTTTAAGCAAAAGTATCAGAAATTATCTCTGGTGCTATTGTCTTGGGTAAACATTATGATAACACTGCTAATTCTCTGAATTTTAATGTAATTTTTGTAATAAAAAGCATTTTTAAACATTTGTCTTCCTGAAGCCTTATGATTAGAGAAGACTGAGACAGATATTTAATGAAAATAGATATATGAAGAAATATATTTTTTTAGTATCCTGAAAATTGTAAAGTAAACTTAGTTTCTGTATCAACAGACTGTAGGATGGTTCAGGCTAATGGCTTTTCTGTATATTTTTGCATTTCATCTCACTCATAAATTCCTTTTTTTCTAGAAGAATGGTTTCCTTCTTTAGAGACAATGTCTTTAATATTTCTAAACTTTGTTTACTGACAGTGCTTAATGTGGAGTCATCGGAATTAATTAACTGAAAGACTCATGGAAAATGTGATCTATTACTGCCAGTCTTCTTTGTATTTGTCACATGGTACTATCTTCATTAACACAGTGTAAATGGTAGACCTGGTCACTGGTCTTCAAAGGAGATGGCTAACAGGTTTTTTGTATCTGCAGAGTGCTGCTGTAATTAAAACATGGATCCTTGAGGGCTGCCAGTTTTTACAATGTGAGTTGGAAAAGTGACAACACCATTTTAGTGTGAATTGAGAAGATTTGAGAGACCTACTTAGCACATTGCATATTATATGTGAAACACTGGATAAGATTAATCTTACCAAATTTAAATGCTCAAAGAGTATGTGCAGAACTTCAGCTACATCAGAACTAGCTGCCTCTACTACTTGATGGAGTTAAAGAGGAGAAAAAAAGGAGCTTATCCTGTTTCCTTATGATAGTGATCTAATATCAGATGATTCATAATGTAGACAAATCCGTTTCATGCCAATGAATGTAATAGGAGAGTACACAGGTAGGCCACAATTAGATGCCAAAAAGCTGGAAAAAGTGCAACTTCCCCAAACTGATCATATTATTTACTATTTTTGTAAGAGTACTGTGTGCCATGTTAAGGCCTACATAAACTCTTCATTGTGAAAGATAAATAATTTCAATAGTTGTCCACGATAATTATCAGTGTTCGTGCTTTTCCCAGTTGATATACACCCCATAATTACAGATTTAAATGATTAACAATATAACTATGGTGCAAACAATCAATTATTTTGTTGCCAGTGAAATCTGTTTTGACAAAGACTAATGATACTTCACAGTTGAATCAACTGCATCGTAACAGCATTTCAATCAAGGCTGCACCACTACTAAATACAGATGGATACCTTTCCATAGTATACAATGAGACAAGACTGATTGTGATGGTAAGAGACCTTTTCTTTTCCAGAATATATCATTATTAAAGCCTGTGAATAACGTTTATGCTTAGTATGAGTTCTATGAAGGTGGTAAAGCTATCGGGGAAAATTAATGCAGAAAGTGATTTCAGTCTCAGAAGCTCATGGCTTCTCAGATTTTAAACACAAATGAGTTGTGACCTTTTGTGTTGAGCAGTGAACGAAAAGCATTTTGTGTCAGGAAAATGAATATTTAATTGGAGCTGACTGTTAATGCTTTTGGAAACACCTGTTACACATGCTTAATGGTATTTCATCCCCAGCCAGCATTTCTCCCATGAGCTAGATATCAAGGCAATAGAGTCCACAGGGACTACTGCATTAATTCAGGTACAGCAGGACAAATAGCCAAGATTTCCTAGTAGTTTCTAATAGAGTGCTAAAAACAAAACAGGAAAATACCATTCCCACCACGACATTCTGTACAGTCTTAACAACACTGTACATCACAGCACTTTGTATGCTGTTTCCTCTGGGACATGATTGAAAAAACTCAACTACAGAGTTTAGGAAACAACTAGCTGCTCTGTGCAGCACCTGAGTGTCCAGGTACCAGAACAATCAATGGTGCATATAGGTCTCAAGGGTGCATGGCATAAAACAGTCACACATCCACTCTCAATAACATGGATAGGGCTAAGGAGCATTGGGGTGTGGTGTAAAGACCAGGAGAGCAGCAGAGCCTTTTGTATTGCACAGAAAGGGTCCAATCTCACTGGCCAGCACAAAACTGTCTGTTAATCCTTTAATGTGGTTGGGAATTAAAAGCTGCAAAATGTTTTCCAAACAGATCATCTTGTTAACTTGCTAATTCAGTTGCAAATTCTGTACCAATCCTGGCTGCACATAAAAAGCCTTGCTTGAAGCACAGCCAACTACTGAGAGTATTTTTGTTTATGATTTGGGGATCTATCAGAGAAGATGAACATCCTCTTATAGCAGAGCTTTACAGCGAAGTCTCTGCCTGACTGATTTTTCTGCTTTCTCTGTACGTGCAATAGGCCAAGGGACCTGATTCTCTGTAAATCATCTGGCAAGGACTCAAGGAAATTGCAGAGAGGATGTTCTTGATGGATTCTCTATGGAAATCTTAAGCAGCAAACTTTGTAAGTTAACAGCATGAATGATTTCCTTTAAAGCTACACCTGCGAAAGTACATTAAACGTGCTTGGAGTAGCTCCTGGACTTGAGGTCAACTGGCACTGGACAGCCTGTGCTGCTACTGTGAAAGTCATCAAACCTCCAAACCAGCATGGCTGCATTCAAGCTGCTTAAAGGGAATGGTTGCTCTCCCATGCTGGTGTCCATTTGGGCTCAAGAATTGGTTTGGACAGTAATTACAGGCCAAAAATATACCAGGGACCATTCTTGCAATTTAGCAGATTAGTCTAGCCAGGCAAGTTCCAATGTGCAGGGACACTCCCTGGTGCCACGGATTATACTAGGATAGACAGACCCTCAAGGAGCCTTTGGACAGTGCAGCAAATATACTGGGCAACAGCTGACTTATGTTACTTCTTTCAATAAAAGAGCAGCTCCAAAAGCTTTGCAACAGCTCATTCCCAGGGCTCAGTCCCAGAATCACAATGAGACTGCAGTCTTCCTAAACAGATAGTTGGCAGAAGCATTTAAACTTGGCCATCAAACATTTAAAGAGACTTCACCTCATTCTTTTCCATTACAAAAAAAATGAAGTGCTGGCCATGTATTCTGGGTTGTCCTCTTCATGTAGGTAATTTGCAACAGGTTCCTCATGCCCATAAGTTTTATTGATTTCAGCCATGCTAACAGCTGCAAGTGGTGTCACCTCTGTGAGAGCTTCCTAACAGCACTCTGTATTTCAGTCCATTACTAGGGCAGTTTGCATCTGGGCTAGGGAATTTCCTCACAAATTATACAACTTCTTGGACTATTGAAAAAAATTTTCTAGTGTGAAACAGTGCATAGCTATTTACATCCATGGGTTTGCTATGTCAGTTAAAAGCCAGACAAGAAGTAACCTCCATATTTGATAAAATAAGTCTGAAAAAATTTGTTTTTTATATCCTAAGAATCGAGCTGCTTCCAAGCCACTAAAGTGGATATTCATGCTGCTTGGTGATCATTCAGTTTTTCCACTCTTTAAAGACACAAGTGAGATTGGTTCTTTCATAAACTTTCAAGACCATACAGAGTTTTGTGAGGCTGGTATAACCTTTCCCATTCTCATGGGGAGAGGAAATA